TCGGCCACCCAATGGGTTAACGTCTTTTCGCAGGAGCGGATGAGACTCGTGGCATTGAAATGTCCGACACACCTGCTCCATCCGAGCCTGCTGATCCTCCAGCAATGCCCACGACGAACGGCGATGGACGCACCCCTGGACCCAAAACACCCATCCCTCCAAACCCCAAACCTGAAACCCAGAGACAGTCTTGAACTTCCTGCATCTCAAAGATCTTCGTGCTTCACACTCTCAGGTTGTCACTGCTCGACCCTGAAACTTTAGATGCTTGAAGAACATGTTTCGGCAGACCTATCCTCCGCACTGCCGGCTATAAGGGGTGGTTTTCAAAGTCATATTGCAGATGCTTATAAAATGGCAGCCGACTTTAAGATCCCTGAAAAATGGGCTACCATTACATTCGCTCCCACTGGGAGGCCGGGCAGGGTGTTGGGATCAGCGCCTCTTTCTACGATGCAGAGATCCGGAAAGAGCTGGGGCCTTGGATGAGGTTTGGTATAGAGGGTCTAGAGTTCAAAGGTTTTGATAGCTAGGGCTCAGGGCCTTGGGCTTAGGATTCAGGGTGTAGGGTTCAGGCTGGGTAATGCCAATGGCAAGCTCCAAGTTGGTAAGTGCCTTGGTGTACTCCGAGGAGCTCCGTGTGCGATAGACGTCTAGAGCGTATGTCTTCACCCTAAGGCCCCAAAGTAGTTCCTTTTGGGGGTTCATACACAGAATCCTATAAGGTAATCCCAAAAAGGAACTACTTTGGGGCCTATGTCTTTAGGGTGATGGACCATGATACCCAGCGGACCTCGAGGGTCCGTTTTAAGGAATTAGTTACCGAAAGACCATCCCGATTATGGTTTTGGGGACCTAATTCCAAAAAGGTAGTTTATATGCACCCTCTGGGATAGTTGACGTAAACGAAACAGACAACAGCAGATTACTGGCCTCTCCGTCACGAAGGCTTGTATAAGCTTTGGCCTAAGAGGGTTCTTTTGTAGACAGTTTTAGACACTTTAAGAGCGCTAGAGTTTCTACTGTGCAGGTACATGGACCCTTAGCGTTGCGAGGCTCTTGAAGTTACATAACTCGTAGCTGTGGACGAGACAGCAGACCCCCAAAGCAAGTGTACGAATTGTAGAACTGAACATTGGTTCAGCATGTTCAGCCACCACTCCAGAAACGAAGCCTACAGCCCTAAACCTCCAACCCTAAACAAAAAAGTCGTTCCATCCCTAAACCCTACTGTAAGGCTTGTATAGACCCCATGGAGAGCCTATCGGTTCTCAGGCAAAGACGACGTCGATTCCATCGCGATGGCCTGTCCGATATCTCGGCTGCTCGTCTTAGGAACCTCAACCCTTCATCGATAACCCTGAGAAGCAATTCCCCTCCCTTCGGCGCATTAACCTATTATAGAGTTCGGTT